TACTTTGAAGTCCCAAACCTCATATTTTTAAGGCTTAGGTGCCTCATCAAGCTCTCCATCATCTAGATCCTCTTCACTCACCTGATGTTTCATATTCTTAAATTCACGCACCTGAAGTTCTTTGAATATATGTGCCCAATAGAGCTTTACCTTATTAGAATACTCATCTACACCCTGGAATGTCTTTGTCTCACATTGTTTAACCTGAGATTTTTTGCTCATTGAGGCTTGATAGAGGTCTATATTATGAGAATCCTGTTGGACAGTCTGGGTCCACTTTGTCTCTGATTTCCAAACCCAAAACCTTTAGAGTATATGTCCATTATAGAGGTCCCACATCCTCATTATCACCTTCGTCCACCTGGGGTCTCTTTGTCTCAGTTTTCCAAACTCATTATTGTATGGGCTTAGATGCCTGATTGTGGTCCCGATCATGAGAATCCTTATAAACAGTGAGGACATCTTCTACTGCATACTTCTTGGCCTAATGTCATCTCATTGGAGGAGCTTTATCCTGGTTCCTCTACCTACTATCTTGATCTCCCTCGTCATCCTGTCTATCTTCACCACTGGGCATTTTGTTTGTACTGGAGCTTAGAGTACATTAACCTCTCCTTGAGCCATAATACCTGTGCGTGGCAAGATGAGTTCTACTAACATGTTTACAGGTACTATTGCTGAAGCTTCCAGTACTAGTTAAGATGAACCTCTTTTCAGAATAGTGCTAGCTATCTTCTTACCATAGTCCTCAACAGGTGCAATAATGACTTCTTCAATCTGGCACCTTCCATGCATGTCATTTAGCTCTTCCATCACCAGGGCATCTCATACAGGACTTAATCTCCTCATACCATAGGCAATCTCTCTGAATTTACTATCAGAGAAAGTATTGATATTAGGATAATTTCCTACTGATTGTAGTAAGGTTTCTGTGGTTGTTACCTAGGCAAGCCAAGACTCGTAATATCTACGTGACTCATAGTATCCATAGATTTTATGTTATTCCTATAATGGTCAATCAAGCTATTGTATCCAGCAGGGGGGAATTACAATAAATGTAATATGATAATTCCCTCTACCACCCACTCCCTGGTACCTCGTATGCAAGCGTAGTACAAGTATAAGCAGGTTAGCGGCCACAGTATTTTATTTCCCACTCATTTCCTATCGGTCCAGGAAACTATGCTGTCCAGTTAATTGAACTCCAAACTCCATAGCATTGTTTTTGACAAAGTTTATCTATCTTGAATCGACTAAGAGCCCTCTGAGACTCCTGGTCAGTCATTAGTCGCAGGAATTATTAATTCAATTCGTGGTTGGTACAATATCATAATTGGTCTTTGCCACACATCTGATCTCCCTAAATGACCCATTGTCATATCGGGTACAGTCATGTCCGTTTAATAATTATTCTCCTGTCCGGCAAACACTCAACACCGTTACCCCCTCATACTACTAGAAATTATGGCTCCCCCTTACTCTACTTGAGCAAAAGAAAATTGGAATAAGAAAATTTATGCTTGGCATAAGTATACAGATATGGGGTATAATGAAATATCAAAGGCTATTGGGGTCTGCAAGGCTACTGTTCATAAGGTAGTCAATAGAGTCAAGACAATAGTTGGAGATACCCATTATACTTCCAAGCAAGGCCAATCTACCAAGATTCCCAATGCCAAAAGAAGAGCAGTAGAGACAATTATTGATGCTGAGCCTCATTTAGCACTAAGAGACATTACCCACAAAGTCAATATTGGTCTTGGAAAAGATACTGTTTGCAAGATATCCAAAGAAGCTAGTTTTAAACTTAGAATACCTAGAGAAAAGCCTTTTTGGAGAAAAGGACAGAAGGAGAAGA